TTTTCCCCCCCGTAGAGGGACACGCCCGACGACAGCAGTTTCAGACAGCCCCCAGACCAGCCATGAGAGGGCGGCCTCTTGCCCAGACCCCACCGGGGCCCTCCAAGACGGTTTTTATCAGACCCCCCAAAAGAAGATCAGTCGACCATCCTTGTTCTGTGAGATGCGGAGTGCACTTGTCCGCCGTCGTCGACGCATACCCCAGGGCTGCTGGAAAATTTCTACCCCGACGCGCCCCCGTCGGGGGACAGGCGTCCCTGGCGGAGGACAGGCCGAACGGTCAATTATGGTCCCTGGGTCTGCTCCTTTCTTGTTGAAATTTGACTTTTTAGCAATACTGATGTTTGATCCCCTCCCCCTCAGGCGCACCTTGCATTCTTAACTAAAGTGCTCCTCCAGGGTCTCGTACTCTGTTGTTTACAAAGGAAAAGTCGTGGTGCTCAAACTCGGCCCTTGGCCCCAGGTTTACAACAACAACAACAACAACAACAACAACGGCTCCAGCCGGATAGCTCCTCACATTTTTTCAAAACCACGATTCAGCGCGGGAGTTCCTCAGAGTGTATGCAAGAAACACGCTCTCGTGTGGTACAACCTCACAAATATATTGCAGCGCCGTGTCCCCGAGACTTGGGAATCACGCCCTCGCCTTAGATGTCCCAGGGTTTTACTTGGGAATCGCGCTCTCGCTCGAATCTTCGTTGCGTTTCATGTTGGATTGAGGCTTCAGCGACCAGCACGCGCGACCAGGCCGTCTGGGCCCGCCCGCCCGACCTGCCCGTCAAAGGTCGCCCGACCGACCCGCCCGTCTGGTTCTGCCGCTTGTACTCCTGCTCCGGACCCTCCTTTGCTCCTGTACTCCTGCTCTCTCGTGCTCCGTCTTTCTCCCTCCCCCTTGCCCCTCACCTCCTCCTTTTCTTCCCCTGCTCTCGGGGCTAAGTTGCTACTCGCGCAAGCGGATTGCCTCTGCCGCGCCACGACGGAAAAAATTAGGGGCTGCACCAACTGCCCGCGGCAGGTAGGGAAGATCTATCCCCAAGGGGGATACGATCAAAGACGAAGAGAACCATGGAGTATTCCTGTTGCTCGTGCATGGTCTGCCCCCTGGCAGGAAGGGAGGATTGGCCTTTTCCCCGCCGCTAAGCTCACCCGGCCCCGACCCCACCCCCCACTCAGTCCCATCTCCCCTGCAGTTGAAGGGGCCCTGGGACACACAAATAAATAGATACAAATAACAGAATTCCCAATCTTTTCTTATATTTTCTGAGCTTTTTTCTTCCCCCCATTTCCAATATTTTCCTATATTTTCTGGGGAATCGAAAATTGATTGTGTCTGTGTGTTCTTACCTCCTGAAATGTCTCCGGTCAGGTGTGCCCCTCATCCGTCCGCGCTTCGTTCACACAGGCGTTGTCGGCACAAGGCTGGGGCAGCCGCCGCAAGCGTGGGGCCTCCTCCCCACCTCCGCCCTCAACAGGCACTGCCGCACGAATGGCGCCAGTACCGCGCAGCCCTATCGCCGGTTGCTAGCCAGGGTTCGCCCTTGTTAGCAACAGGCAGTAACAGGCTGCGTGTTGGGGATTCCCCACGTTACGGGTGTCCTTTTTTGGCAATCCCTCTTCCGCCCAGGGACTGTGCACAGGCGGTCCGCTCGCAGCCCTAGCAGTCTGGAAAGTAATTCCAGCTCCTGCTGCGCTATTCGTCCTCGTCCCGCTCCTTCAGCTTCCTCCTCCTCCTCCTCCTCCATTTCTCCGCCTCCTTTCCTCCTGCTCACACTCCTGTTCATCCGCCACCTCCTCCTCCTCCTCCTCCTCCTCCTCCTATGTACTCCAAATCCCTTAATAATCGACCCCCTCCTAAAAACCGGACCCCTCTCCAAATGCGACCTAACATTCCGGACCCCCCTCTTCGACGGGGCGCCTTAAGAATACCAGACCCCCCAAAGCTCCATTCCAAAGAAAGCGCCCTAATACACCGGACCCCCCAATTACAAGAAAGGCGCCTTAACAAAAACCGGACCAGGGCACGATTAATAGGGAATTTGGTGTACGCAATTGTTTTGAATTGCGCATGACACGATTGGGCCATGTTTGGAATTCCAGGTCCGCTATGACCCGCGTCGGCGGATAGAGAGCACGCGTTTGCGCAGTGGAAAGGGACGGGTGGGAGGGGTAGGATGTCAGATATGCCGCAAGCGCACACGGCCTGCCCTTCACCTCTCTCCGCCCTCCTCTCCCTGCCTCCTCCCCCTCTTCCTCCACCTCCGCCTTCCCAGTGTATCCTCCCCCTCCTCCTCCTCCTCCTCCTCCTCCTGCTTACCTGGCTCCTCCTGCGGATGCCTCCTCCTCATCCACCTCCTCCTCCTCCTCCTCTCCGCCATCTACCTGCTTTTATCCGCCTGTCGCCTCCTCCTCCTCCTCCTCCTCCGCTTTCCGCCCTCCCTCCTTTTTGGGGCTGCTCCCGTCTCCCCTGCCATGTCTCCCCTGCCGTGCTCACATAACACGCTGCCCTCCTCGTTATGTTGTTTTCTCTCTCTCTCTCTCTGTCTCCCTCTCTCTCTCTCTCTCTCTTTCTGCTCTCTCTCTCTCTCTCTCTCTCTCTGCTCTCTCTCTCTCTCTCTATCTCTATCGCTCTCTCTCTCTCTCTCCCTCTCTCTCACTCGAGGAAAAAGGAAGAAGACGAGGAGGATGAGGAGCAGCAGGAGGAGGAGAACTAGGAGGAGGGGGAGGAGGAGTAGCAGGAGGAGGACTAGGAAGAGGGGGAGGAGGAGGAGGAGGAGGAGCAGCAGGAGGAGGAGGACTAGGAGGAGGGAGGAGGAGGAGGAGGAGGAGGAGGGGAGGAGGAGGAGGAGGAGGAGAGGAGGAGGAGGAGGAGGAGGGAGGAGGAGGAGGAGGGAGGAGGAGGAGGAGGAGGAGGAGGCGGAGGCGGGGAGGAGGAGGAGGAGGAGGAGGAGGAGGAGGAGGAGGAGGAGGAGGAGGAAGAAGAGGAGGAGGAGGAGGAGGAGGGGGACGAGGAGGAGGAGGAGGAGGACGACGAGGAGTAGGAGGAGGAGGAGGAAGGGGAGGGGGAGGAGGAGGAGGGGGAGTGGGAGGGGGAGGAGGCAGGAGGAGGCAGAAGGGTCGCCAGCGCCTCGAGGAGAGGGCCCCCTCACCCCCACATCTCCCAGAACCCCCCCCCAGACCGAGCGCGGGACTTGCTCCTAACTTTGCCCGGATGTATCTCGAATGTGACCTGGATTCACCTGGATCTACATTGATTTATCTGCGTTTACGTGTATTCATCTGGCTCGATCCCCACAGGTCGATTTGCGAAAAGTCGACAAGCCCTTGGGGAACGGATGGAAGCCCTAAGATCGGCATCGAGACTTTTCCCGTCGGCGGCGAGGCAGAGGCGATCTGCACCAGCGCGGGGCTAATCGGGACAACCGATAGGCAAGTTGTCCTACGCGCAAGAGAGAGAGAGAGAGGCGAAGACGAGGGCGGCATGGAGACACGGCGATACCAATCATAGATGCTTTAGGCTGGCAACAGGCGACCAGAACCGTCAAACACCTGCTTGGTTTCCGATCCTCGGGAGCGGGCGACCACCTCGTGGCTTTCGGGTCATGCCCCGTGCCTGCAGCGGCCCTCCGGGACGATCCGGGGACCCCGGGACAAGCTCTCGGCGAGGCGCAGCTGCTCGAAAACATCCCGAGGTGGGACACCTCCACCCTCCACGAGCCGGCGAACGCGTCCGGAAAGCTCCGCCCGAAGAGACCTGGGTGCTGGGCACCCAAGGCTCTTCGATCCTGCATTGATCCTCCTGGTGCCCCTCCTTTGCATTATTTACCCGGGTCCCCCCGACGCTCTCCGTCTGGAGAGAACAGAAGGGAAGGTACCGATACCGCTACTCCCCGGACCTCTCCAGGGCTGCGTTCTGACCAGAGCTTCCAGGCGAATTCAGAGGTGGCGACGAGGGCCTTTCATGAGGCGCCAAAGGGGGAAAACGAGGGCAGGGTAGCGGTATGGTGACTAGACATAACAGGACCCCTAACCCTTTGGGAGAGGTCCGAAGTTAGGAGGCTTAGGAACATTAGGAATAGGGCATCGTTTCTGCAGGTGTATCGAACCAAGCCGCCCAGATCCATTATCCCTCATGCGAAGACGGGGACCTCCGTGAGGCTACGTCCTCATCGTGTTATTAGGTTTGGGGTTATTTTTTCCTCAACGATATGGGTGTACTCTCATCTAGGAACACGGAACATTAGGAATAGGGCGTCGTTTCTGCAGGTGTATCGAACAAGTGTATCGAACCAAACCGCCCAAATCCATTATCCCTCATGAGAAGACGGGAACCTCCGTGAGGCTACGTCCTCATCGTGGTATTAGGGTTAGGGGGCATTTTTTCCTCAACGATATGGGTGCACTCTCATCTAGGAACCAAGAAAGGAGCATGGGTGGTGGTGTGGTCACCCTCTCTCGCTCGAGACGTCCCCGGCCCCCAGCTCGGGGATGATTCGTGGACCTCCTCGCCGGAGGTGGCCCCCCTGTTGGCGTTAGTGTCGCTTCTTCTCCCTCCGAACCCTGAGATCCGATGTCGTGATTTTTTCAATACGGGCCCCTCGGAAGTCTCGACCTTTCCCCAAGACTGGCTTTTCATCCCGAGTCCTTGCTTGACGGCCCCGAGGCGAAGGCCCCTATAGGGGCCGAACTCTGCCAAAGACCTCCGTCTTGATTGTTGTCCATACGTTGGATGTCTGGGAACTCTCCTCCTCTGGCCCTCCGCCGCCGCCACCGCCGTTTATCCGATTACCCATCCCCGCCGGCGCGGCCTGGGCCCCACTGGCCGATTTACCCCCCTAGATGGGGATATAGGCCGTTCCCTTCGGGTTTCGAGGGGCGTATCCCCAACTGGGGTGGTAATTTGGTGGGGGTCTCGACGAGGATGAGGATGGGGGTCGGTGAAACGCTACTGATCCGAACTCTCCTACTCCGGCCCTCCGCCCCTCCACAGCAGGGCGGACAGCTCGAAGGTCTTGAAGTGGCTCACGAACGCGGCGGAGGGCCCGGCGACCGCCTCTCTCTATCCCCCCGGGGGCGGCCGCGCCCCCCCTCGGGGGAAGGCGAGGAGAGGGGGGCCGACCCCGCAGGGCCCCCATCGCGTCGTGGCCCAGGCAAGGGACGTCCTCCTCCTCCTCCTCCTCCTCCTCCTCCGCCTCCTCCTCCCCCTCCTCCTCCTCTTCCTCCTCCTCCTCCTCCTCCTCCTCCTCCTCTTCCTCCTCCTCCTCCTCCTCCTCCTCCTCCTGTTCTCCGTGGCCATTTTGGTTCGAGACGGGAACTCGTCCCCGTCCCGACTCCCGAGGCCGCCCGAGGTCGAGGTGGAAGGGCAGCCCCTTAGGCCTGGCTGCCGCGACCAGCCTGCGCGCCACGGCCCGTTTTCGCGAGGACCCCAGGCGCCCAAGCCATAGCCTCCGCCTCCTCGCTGCTGCTTGCCTCCTCGCGGCGCTGGCGGCATGGGGCGCGACGCGCCGCCCGCAGGCGCCCGCCGCAGAGATCGCGAGGGGCGCGATCTTCGCACGCCGCGGAGCCAGTCACGTACGCCGAGGAGCTACCAGGTCTGCCGCACGCCGTCATGTGGGGGATGGTCGTGGTCAGATCTACAGCACTGCCATTGTGGGAAGTGCGGTGCCAGTTTTGATGCATCCTCGGCAGCATCAAGCAGTCAGACTCCTTCGCGTTCCACCTCGAAGAGCCGAGCCAACCGCTGGTCTCGCAGTACAGTTACGTTCGAGGAGGCCGCGGAGGACGCGCCCGCCATGGGCGCAAGCGAGCTGGACCCCGTCACCGTATGCATCAAAGCGGCCGCCTTCTGGAAGAGCATCGAGGGCGTCGCGGGGCCCCACTACAAGCAGGCGCAGGAGGAGCTCAAGGCGGCGAAAGCCGCGGCGCTGGCCTCCAAGTCGCCAGACCAGCAGACTCAGAGCCTCAACGCCCGGCTCGCGGCCCAGAGGGAGCGCCTCTCGGGGAAGCAACGCGATGCAGAATGGTACACCGAGAAGGTGGAGTCCCTCTCACCCAAGTACGTTGAGATTTCCAAGGAATGCAATGCAATCCAGATTGAGATCCAGCAGCTGGAGAGCCAGCTCAAGGTGGCGGCAGCGGCGGCAGTGGCGAAACATGCAAGCCCTGCGGCAGCAGGTACCCTCGCAGGCTTCGCCCAGCAGAAGTTCGGCGGCATGGCCTACTCAGCCGAGCTCCAGCAGAAGATCGACGCCATGGCCGCGGAGCTCAACAGTGAGTACAACAGGGTCGCAGCAGCCGCCGCGAGCCAGACGTATACTGCCACCAGCGCCAGCGCGACGGCCTCGTCGCCAGCAGCCGAGCCGCCGCTCAAGGTCGAGCAGCAGGCCACCGACAAGCCCGCGGGGCGCGACTCCGACGACGTGGAGCTCGTGGACACCAAGGAGCCCCTCGGCTTGGCGGCAGGCGCCAAGCGGATCTCCCAGGCGCTCGAGGCGGCAACCCAGCTCCAGGCTGATGGAGCGGTGGGGCCAGCGGCCGCCGACACGGCCCGCCGCCCCCGCCAGCGCGCCCCCCAGGAGAAGGCGGGGAAGTCCGCCAGCGCAGCGGATGAGGCCAACGAGCCAGGCGGGTAACATTCGAATCGTTTCATTGAGCGGCAGTTGCTGGGGCAGCGTCAAGACTTCTGTCAAGTCCGATTCGGAGGCCCGACCATTCCAGATCGTTGGTTGCCAAGAAACCAGGCTACAAGGGGCCGAAGTTTTGGAAGCTGTCCAATGGTGTGCGAGACGGGGTCGGCATGCCGTAATCTCGGAAGGGGTCTGTTCTGAATGCAGGGCAGTCATTCAAGGAACCGCCATCCTAATACGTCAAGGGTTTGATCTCGGGGCTGCCACTCCGTCAGGGAGAGTCGCCGCTGTGGCTCTAGAGGTGCCAGGGCACGCTCAGTTTCTCCTTTGCTCCGTCCATTGAGAAGAGAAAGTAGGCCTGAACGAGACCAACCTTGACCTGCTGGCGCAGGTCGCGCAGCTGGCTCAGGAGCACCGACTACCGTTGGTGCTAGCAGGCGATTTCAACCTCCCTCCTTCCAAGCTCCTCCGCTCCGACTACTGCTCAAGAACAGGAACGTGCGGGCTGGCTCCGTCGGAGCCGACCCTTTACACCAAGAAGACTAAGACCCTCATGGACTATGTCCTTGCCCCAAGTGTTTCAAAGACCACGTGCGAGAGCCCGTGGTCCTCAAGCAGTACCCCCCCCATCAGCCCCCGCAGGCCCGTGTGCTTTGATCTGGCCGTGGGGTCGCCCTTCTCAGTTCCCGTGCTGGTCAAGCCCCAGAAGCTCCCGACCAAGACGCCCGTGGGACCCCTGCAGCAAACTACGGAATGGATTAAATCAGGCGCCGCCCTGGACCAGATGGAAGGATTCCTGGCCCAGAAGCTGGACTTCAGAGAGCTCGAGGGCGCCCTTAACGAAACCTACCAGACGCTCACGACGGACCCGATGGACCACATGGGCACGATAACGGATCCCCCCCCCTGAAAAAAGCAAAAGAGTACGGGGCCAAGAGGCCCAGATCAAATGGGTGCCAGCGCGGGAAGCCGAAGGGTATCATAGATGCAGCTGGCGATCTTTTACGGGGCCTCTCCGTTGGCTCCAGAACAAGCTGACGGACATGCGCCGAGCCTTAGATAAGCACGATTTCCACAACCTCGATTTCCAGAATGCCTCTGAAGATCTCCTGTCCCACCCGAACGCTTTCGACGAAAACGAGGACCTGGAGACCCTCTTGGGAGCCATCAAAGTCGCGGCCCAGACGGTGCTGCTGGACCCTCAGAACGGCAACCTGAATTTGGCCGTGGCTCGCGAAATCTTCGATACGTTTTTCGAGGACGCCGACGAGGCCCTGGACCGAGAGACCCAACGGGACAAAGCATCGGAGGCCAACAAGCGGAAAGACTGGGTCAAGACCAGCATGAAAAGGGGGGTCGGTTGGGGCCACAAATGGACGAAAGGCCTTTCGACCTGGAGACCTCAGAGAATTTGGAAACGAGGTGAAGGCAGGTGGACTCGGCGACCGTCCGAGCTGCGGTTCGCCGAGGCCGGTAGCTTAGTCAGTATCTGGACGACCGAACCCCAAGAAAACAGAAGCCGACAGAAGCGTCCCGACCCCGAGGCTCTGAGAGAGCTTCCCCCGACTACCGCCGAAGCTGTCCTCCAGGCCTCCAGGACTTTCGGCCGCGACACGGCGTCCACCTACGACGGCTTTCGCCCCGAGCATTTCTCCCTGCTGCCGCTGACAGAGCGTGAGCTCGCCGCCCGCTTCCTCAACGCTGTCGAGGCGGTGGGGATCTCCCCGTTGCAGGCGGGAGCTACCGTCACGACCCTGATTCCCAAGCATAAGCAGCAGGAGGCGACAGAGAATCCTAGTTATGGTGGCATTGGTTTGATGAAAGCAATCTGGAGGACCTGGGCCCGAATACGACAACCCATCGCCAGAAAATGGGAGACAACGAACCGACGCCCCTACCTGGCCCGCCAGTCGGGCCGAGGAATCCTGGAAACCGTTTACCTGCAAGCGTTTCAGGCCGAGTCGGCCCATCATGAAGGAACCGCCAGATTCACGGCAGCCATCCTCTGAGACCTTTCGAACTATTACGAACATATCGATCGTGAAAAGTGGTTTACCCGAGCTGTCGGAACCAATGTAAACCAGGCCATTGCCACAGTGATTTATAATCAGCATGGAGGGCCGAGGCTTGTAACGGGCCAAGGTCTCGCGACGTTTGTGGGCAGCCCGCAGTGCGGAATACCAGCGGGCTGCAGTTTCGCTACGTTCATCGCCCAGATGTTTTGCCTTGTCCCGCTCGACGTCTGGGTCCAGGACAATCCGAATCTAGACCTCCACATGTTCATAGATGACCTCCTCCTCCAGAGCCAAGATAAGAGCCCCAAGAACCTAGTTGCTAACCTCTCCTCCGCCGCCTCCAGCATGAAAGAGACGATCGAAATCGTCCTGGGATGCAAAATCGCCAAACGCAAGTCGGCCATCCTCGCGTCGTCGCAGTCGGTCAGGAAACCCATGGTGCGCGCCCTGGGACCACTAGCAGGACCCCAGACGGAAGAGCGGACAGACTCGGCAGCCAACCTAGGCATCGATTACACGGCAGGAGGACGGACTCGCTCTCGCCGAGGAAGAGCCACACTCAGCGGACGTTTTGCCAAGTTGAGATCCCGCAAGCGCAAGTTGATGGCGCTAAAGCAGGCGGGAGCAGACATGCGCGAGCTGTACCGAACAGGCTTGGACCAAGCCAATCATGATGGATCGGAGGTGGTGGGGCTCACAAACGAGGAGGTCCGTGAAAGCCAAACAATCTATCTCAACATTGTTGGGCCCCGAAGCCACGCGAGATCCCGTTTCATGTGTCTGTGCCTCTTGGGGGGCCCGACGTGGAAGGCTGCGTTGGGCCCAATGATCCACTACGGGTTAATGGTCCGGATTCATGTTTCTGGGGATGACGGGCAGCGGGTTCCGAGACAAAGTCACGAACATCGTGAAGGGGCCCCCCAAGAAATGGACAACCTGCCGAGGACCCATAGGAGCCACCTTATTGAGCCTCCAAAGGATCAACTGGACCTTAAGGACCCCCTTTGAGATCGAGACCTCCGAGGGCCTGATCCTCCAGCTCACGCGTGTGCCGCCAGCGCTTCTGAAGTTTCATCTCGAGGAGGCCTGGAAGGCAAACCTCGAGAGGAAGGCGGCAAAGAAGATGCGTCGACCGCAGGAAAGGTTGGACGCCTCTGCCGCCAGGCAGGTCCTTGCCGATCCCTCCCGCTCCAGCTCCGAAAAGAGCAGTTTGATGTCCTACCTCGCTCAATGTTTGTGGACCCGAACTAGACTTGCTGCAGCAGGATATGACATTGACACGACGTGCCCCTGCGGATGCGAGAGAGACGACATGACGCATAGGTTCGAGTGCCCCCTGGTCTTCAGCTTGGGGAGTGAGATGCTGACCCCCCCGATAAATCGTAG